ATCCCCCTCACATGGGCATTTTAACCATTTTTAAATGGTTCAGTGGCATGAAGCACATTCACATTATTGTGAAACTATAACCACTATCCGTCTCCAGAACTCTTTTCATCTTGCAAAAACGGAAGCTCTGTACCCATTAAACAATAACTTCCCACTCTCCTCCTACTAACCCCTGGCAGCTACCACTCTGCTTCCTATCTCTATTAATTTGTTTACTCTAGGTACCTCATATAAATGAAATCGTATAATATTTGTCCTTTTGTGGCTGGTTTATTTCACTTAGAATAATGTCTTCAAGGTTTATCATGTTGTAGCATATGTCAGAATTTCCTTCCTTTTTAAGACTGAGTAATATTCAATTATATGTACATACCACATTTTGCTTATCCATTCATCTCTTGATGGACTTTTGAATTGTTTCTACTTTTTACCTACTGTAAATAATGCTGCTAAAAATATGGGTGTACAAATATCTGTTCCAGTCCCTGCTTTCAATTTTTTTGTGAATATATCCAGAAGTGAAACTGCTAGATTATATGACAATTCTATGTTTAATTTTAATTGCAATGCTGTTTATTTATTTATTTATTTTTTGAGACAGAGTCTTACTCTGTTGCCCAGGCTGGAGTGCAGTGGTGAGATCTCAGCTCACTGTAAACTCCGCCTCCTGGGTTCAAGCAATTCTTGTGCCTCAGCCTCCCAAGTAGCTGGGATTACAGAAATGTGCCACCAAGCCCTGCTAATTTTTGTATTTTCAGTAAAGATGGGTGTCACCATGTTGGCCAGGCTGACCTCGAACTCCTGATCTCAGATGATCTGCCCGCCTTGGCCTCCCAAAGTGTTGGGATTACAGGCGTGAGCCATTGTGCCTGGCCTTATTTTTATTTTTTTTTTAAAGACAGGGTCTTGCTCTGTTGCCCAGGCTGGAGTGCCAAAGGTGGAATCATAGGTCACTGCAGCCTTGACCTCCTGGGCTCATGCAGTCCTCCTGCCTCAATCTCCCAAGCAGCTGGGACTACAGGCATGTGCCACCATGCCCAGCTATAACTGTGATGCTTTTTAGCAGTTATAAAATCATAACATTCTCTAAATATTACAAGAAGGGGATAAACTTTTATGACCCCTTTCTGAGAATGGTGCTAAAAAAAAATCCCTTTTCTGGGTGTAAACTCACCTGGTGATGCAACGGGGAGCCAGACTGTCATGCTGCCGGAGCCGGGGATGCTGCATTCCTCCACTGTGAAGGTGAGGGTCTCCACGGGCAGGCTGAGGCCCTCAATGGGCCCTGGCTGGAGCCTGACTCTGAGGGATGCCACTGGCCAGACACTGAGTTCTGTTATTAGACCTCTGTCTGCCCACGTAACCTCCTCCCAGGCTGATGAGAAAGCAGGAGGGGAAGGTTTCAGAGAATAAGGAGCACCTTCCTGTAATTATTGATTAACCAGGGGCTGGCTCCAGGGCCAGAGGCCAGGGAGGGATCTGCAGGTCAGTCCAGCCCTACCCCACTGCACTTCTCAGAATAATCATTGTCCCTAAAGATGGATTCACATGGTGAATAGAGAATAAAGTGCGTAGTTTTAAACTCTCACAATTGAGAATGGCCCCAACACATCAGCCCAGACCTGGAGGTTGGGGGCAGGGTGGGAATTTAAAAAGACCACTTTGAGTCAGGGTATCTGGGATCTTGACCAGCTCTGTCACCAACTGCCTGTGCCCTCTTTACCAAACAACTTCTCTTCTTGAGGCCTCGCTTCCTTATCTGAAAAGTGAAGGAGGAGGAGCAGATGATGACCAAGTCCCTTTTGGTTTCCAAAAAACCTTACATATTTATTCTGTGGAGTCTCCTACAGACTTCTGCTTTTGGCAAACTTTAAGATGTTTCATCACTTCAGGTGGAAGGTAAGAGAGGACTTGCTTGCTGAGAGTCAACCTCGGGCTTCCCCCTTTAGGGGAGACGGAGGGTCCCTGCAGGAACACCCGTGATGGACAGGGTGTCCTACACACCAAGTTCTGCTCTCTGCTCTCCCCTCACAGACTACAGAACACCAAGTGCCTGCTGCCATGGTCTGCAGTGTCTTTGGTCCTGGGTGGGCCCACCGAGCCCTTGCTCAGTGAGAGTCCTGGGCCAGGAGCCAGACCTCACCCTAGAGTTGCCAGTTACTAGTAGTGCAGTTTTGAACAAGCCACTTTACCTCTCTTAGCCTCAGTCTACTCATCTGAAAATTAGGGGGCAATACCTCCCAGCACTCAGGGTTTAGAATTTCAGAGGAGATTGTGTATATGAAGCAATTTGTAAGCAGCGGTTATCCGAGAGGTATTCTGGCTCAGACAACTAAAGTCTTTGTTGTTCCTTCTGTTGTCTAGGTGAGGGCAAGTGAGGCTCAATTGTGCAGGTATGTTTTCTTCTCTTTCTTTTTTTCTTTTTCTTTTTCTTTTTTTTTTTTTTTGAGATGGAGTTTCGTTCTTGTTGCCCAGGCTGGAGTGCAGTGGTACATCTTCGCTCATGCGTCTGCTTCCTGGGTTCAAGTGGTCTCTGCCTCAGCTTCTGAGTAGCTGGGACAACAGGTGTGCGCCACCATGCCCGGCTAATTTTTTGTATTTTTAGTAAGAGATGGGGGTTTTACCACTTAGGTCAGGCTGGTCTCGAGCTAAAGTGCTGGGATTACAGGTGTAAGCACTGCGCCTGGCCTGGCCAGGACTACATTTTCCATGTGAACCACAACACTAAAAATTTGTATGTTGCTGCTCTTATCTTACAAATCAGGAAATAGGGCTCAGAGGAGGTTAAGTAACTTGCTCCGATCATACAGCCAGCAAGTGGTAAAGCCAGGATAGAACTCGATTTGCGTGACTACAGAGCACACAGGCTCCCCATCAGGAGATTAGAGAGGGGGAGGTCTGCTTTGGTGCAGAGACAGGTGGGATCTGTGATGCCTATTCTTGGTTTCAACATTCTTTTAAACTCTCCTATCAAGTGATTCTCCTGCCTCAGCTTCCTGAGTAGCTGGGACAACAGGTGTGCGCCACCATGCCCGGCTAATTTTTGTATTTTTAGTAGAGATGGGGTTTTACCATGTGGGTCAGGCTGGTCTCGACTAAAGTGCTGGGATTACAGGTGTGAAGCACTGTGCCTGGCCTGGCCAGGACTACATTTTTTCATGTGAACCACAACACTAAAAATTTGTATGTTGCTGCTCTTATCTTACAAATCAGGAAATAGGGGCTCAGAGAGGTTAAGCAACTTGCTCAAGTCATACAGCCAACAAGTGGTAAAGCCGGGATGGGAACTCGATTTGCGTGACTACAGAGCACACAGGCTCCCCATCAGTAGATTAGAGAGGGGGAGGTCTGCTTTGGTGCAGAGACAGGTGGGATCTGTGATGCCTATTCTTGGTTTCAACATTCTTTTAAACTCTCCTATCTGAGCCTAGGACTTTCTGCAGCCTTCCTGTTTTAGGCTGGCAGCTTGCAGTCCCTCTCTGGTTATTTTCAGGTCTGTGTGTGCCACAGAGAGGAAGGGGGCAACCACAGTGGGAACCGCTTTCCAGCCCTGCTGCAACCCCTTTTGAACTAGCAGGCGAGAGGGCTGGTGGCCTCCAGCGTGCTCTTCTGTTCCTGTCTGCGGGCATGGCTGAAGCAAACAAACCCACCCACAGCAGCCCCCATCGTGCGGTGGATCAGTGCGTGTGCTTGGTGCTGCCTGGCACTGCTGATGGGGCGGTTCCTACAGAAAGACCCAGATGCACGGGCTCTGAGGACTGTTTCAGAAGCTCTGTCCCTCCATGCCTGGCCCTGTCCACTTGGGAGTTCCATTAGGCCATGCCTCTTCCAGCTGTCCCAGGATCTTTGATCTGGGTTAGGATGGGCCTGAAACCCAAAGCAGAAAAACACATTCTAATGAGCAGTTGCTGATCTAGAAGCTTCTCAGCCTAAACTTTATTTCAGCATTTTTCTTTCCCTCTGAATTCAGCCATGAGGCCATCCTATCAGCTTTAGGCTCTGTGGGATCCTTGAGAGAGTTCCCCTCCAAGGGAGGGACAGATGGTCGCCTTCAGGGTCCTTGTGGTTGCTCAAAAGCCAAGCGCTCGTTTTTCTTTCCTTCCTTTCCTTCCTTCCCCTCCCTCCTGCCTTCCTTCCTTCCTTTTGTTTTCTTTTTCTTTTCTTTTTTTCCAGACAGGGTCTCACTGTCATCCAGGCTGGAGTAGCGGCCCCCAATCACAGCTCACTGTAGCCTGGGTCTCCGGGACTCAAGCAATTCTCCCACCTCAGCTTCCCTAGTAGATGGGACTACAGTCATGCACCACCACACCCAGCTAATTTTTAAATTTTTTATAGAAATGGGGGGTCTCACTTTGTTACCCAGGCTGGTCTGGAATTCCTGGACCGAAGCAATCCACCCACCTGGGTCTCCCAAAGTGTTGGGGTTACAGGCGTGAGCCACTGCCCCTGGTGTTAGTTTCTGTCTGTCAAATCAGGAGGGCAGCCATGCACGTTCTGATGTCTACGGAGCACCTGTGGCCCAGACCGTGTGTCGGGTGTTTAGGTGCCATCCACAGAACCTTCCGAATAACCCTGGGCAGCATAGGCTTTCTTATCTCTAACAGATGAGGAAATGGAGACTCAGATTCTGAACCGAAGTCACAGACACAGTAGATGGTGGGTCTAAATGGGGACCCAGGTCTATCTGACTGCAAAGTCCAAACCGTTTCCTTGCCTCTGCTCCAGCCTGCGAGGAGCAGCTGGACAGAGAGACTGTGCCTTTACGGTGGTGAGTCTTCCGATGCCCAAGCCTCACCCCAGACCGATGAAATCAGAATCTCTGGAGCCCCGACCCAGACATTGGTGGGTTTTAGGGCTCCCGGCTGATTCCAGTGGGCAACCAGGCTACCAAGCACTGCTTTACCATAAGGGTACATCGCCTCCTCGAGGGCTCTCCAGGTGTGCCTTTCACAGCGTAATCCTGTTCACGAAACCAAAAATCAAAACAAGTGCCCTTTTCTCATCAACAGAACCGGGAGGAAGGGCTCTGACGGGGCTGGCGGTCCCCTGTTCTCCCCGCTCAGGTGCGGCGCTGTGGCAGGAAGCCACCCCCTCGGTCGGCCGGTGCGCGGGGCTGTTGCGCCATCAGCTCCAGCTTTCGTAACCGCACCCTGGGACTGCCCAGAGACGCTCCAGCGCGAGTTCCTCAAATGTTTTCCTGTGTTGCCAGGACCGTCCGCCGCTCTGAGTCATGTGCGAGTGGGAAGTCGCACTGACACTGAGCCGGGCCAGAGGGAGCGGAGCCGAGCGCGGCGCGGGGCTGAGGGACTCGCAGTGTATGTAGAGCGCCGGGCTCCTGCGAATGGGGGCTGCCCCCGGAGACTGAGCCAGCCTCCCCGCCCACCGCCCCGCCCCTGCCGCCCGGTTCCCACCAGCCTGTCCGCCTCTGCGGGACCATGGAGCGGTAGCCGAGGAGGAAGCATGCTGGCCGTCGGCTGCGCGCTGCTGGCTGCCCTGCTGGCCGCGCCGGGGGCGACGCTGGCCCCAGGGGGCTGCCCTGCGCAAGGTAAGGGATTCGGGCGCACCTGGAGGGCTGGGGCAGCTGGCGGCTGGGGGAAACCGCCGTGGCCACCGCAGTCTGGGGGAGGTTGGAGGGAGGAAAGGAGGTGCGACGGCTCCCCTTTTCTGTGGCTGCCTTGAGGCCCGGCGGGCACCTAGCTGTGTGGTCGCGGGCAGTGGCTCTTGCGCCCCCTGCTGCACTTGCTCCCTTGGCCCAGAGCTCTCCCCGGAATGCCCTGTGAAGCTGTGCGGGAAGCTCCCTGAGGTCAGTGTATAGGGCTGTGTCCTTGCAAACCTGACTCTCCTTCCCGGTGCCCCCATGAGCCTTTACACAACCGCGAGCCGGGTTACTCTAAGGGGAAATGGCCCGAGAGGGCGCGCCCCAGCGGGGTGATGAACCCGCCTGGGAAGTCCTTTGTACCAGCAGCGCCCCTCTTCTCCCTCTGCATTGGGGGTCCACCTCGCCTTGTCCTCCCCCGACCCCCGCGGGTGCATGTGTGGATGACAGTGCCCTGACTATGAAGGGACTGACATCATGGGCGCTGAGTCACGGATCTTCCCGCTGCACGGAGTCAGTTCGGCAGCCACCAACTCTGGGAAGCCACGAGTCGGGAGGCTGGCAAGGGAATGAGACCTCCTGGGGCTGGCACGTGCTGGACTCCCCTCCAGACAAGAGAAGGAGCTGTGAGGGAGAGGGCAGAGGCACTTGTTGCTCCTGTTGACAGTAATCTGCCCCTGGCAAACCAGGCTTTTCTTGGACTCTGGCCGCATGCCCAGCTGTGTGTCTAGTCTCTCTTCTGGAAGAGCTGGGCAACTGGCTCTCCAGAGGCTTATTTTAGGGTCCAAGTGCTTATTTGAGGACACAGCAGAAAACTAAGGGGCAGCTGACAGGCTTCTGGAACAGCTGATGAGGCTGGGGAGGCTGAAGGCTAAGACTTTCAACCACTAGATCACACTGCGTTCCAGTCCTAGGTGAACACCGATCTCTCCCTTTGGGAAGGTGACTTTCTGCAGCTAGAGGCTGAGCTGGAGTGTCTGAGGCTCTCTTTGCTATTTGGATGGTTGTGGTCCTTATGATTGGAAGAAAAAAGGAAGGGATTACTTTTTCAATACACATTTATAACTCCTGCCACTAACAGCCACTGTTGATTGAGGCACCCATTCAATGTTTTCTTATCCTCCTCTGTATCTACATATAACTGTTCGAAAGAGGAGACTGAGGTTCAGGGAGGTTGGGAAGGCAGGTTATCAGGCCCCGGTGGTGGAGGCCGACCCCTCCTGTGGCTCTGTGCTCCAGTGTGGTAGATGTCTAAGACTCTCAAATATAGAACTAGATCAGCAGGCAGAGCTGGGGGCATTGGGGCAAGCTGAGAGTCACTTTTGTCTGGCTGAGTGCTGGGGCAGAAAAGGCTGAGGGAGGGAAGTGGAAGCCCAGCCTTGCCCATGGTGGTGTTAGAGGGATGCAAGACAGGTTTCAGGCCTTGGATGGCCTCAGGAGCAAGCAGGGCTCCCTTGGCTGCCTCCGTTTCTGTCACGCCAACCCAGGGCTCCTGGCCCAGGGAGGTTATTGTTACTGCTGTAGTTGCCACCACCTGTTGCTCCTCAGTGGATGCTAGGCCCTTCCAGGGCAGCCAGTTGCTGTCAGTTTTCTGTTTCCCTGGTGCTCAGGAAGGATAGGAGAGGAGGTCTCATGACCTGGACAGCCCATGAAAGGCAGAACTGAGAGATTGGGGAGGAAGTGAAAGTCCTCCCAGCTCAGAAGGAAAACGCAGAGAAGTAGAAATACCCAGCTCCTCTCCCACACCCACACAAACTCAGCCCACAAACTGGAGAGTAAAAATAAAGAAATCGTACAGGAAGCATGGAGCAAATGACTGTGAGATGTTTCGCTTTAGAGAAGTGAGGAGCAGACGGGGGAGCAGAGGCTGGAGTTGGCTGAGAGGGGAAATCCGCAGGTACAGCCTGCGGGGCTCTTAGAGCCCAGAGATTTGTTTTCCTGGGGATCAGCTACCGCCCACACACCCTGTAGCTGCCAGGACTTCTCAGGTGTACTCGTTGTCTAAGGGCCTGGACTAGCTGGGACTTAGGCTTCTGCCAGTTCCAACACTCTGGTGCTGGAAGGCTGGACTTGGGTGACTCAAGTTCCCTCTTGCTACTGCAATGCAAGAAAATACACAAAAGAAGTATGTATACCTTTAAGTATCTCAAAGACTTATCTCAGCTTCTGAATTTCCTTCTAGGGCAACCTCTTCCTGCCGCCAATACCCACATACATACCTAGCCTCACCCTAAATCAGTATTTCTCAAAAGCTTAGTTCTGAGCCTAGCACCAGATTTAGTGTGTGTGTTGGGTGGGAGGGCTTGGTAAACATCATGATTTTTGAACCCTAACCCAGATTTATTAAATAAGAACACCTGGGAGTGAGGCCTGGGGCATGTCATTTTAAACAAACTGCCCCTCGTGATTCTTAGGGACTGTCAGTTTTGAGGACGGCTTCCTAAATGGTGTCGTCGAGGAGCTGAATGAAGGCCCTCCCCCCTCGGGCTCTCTGTTGCCAGAAATCTCTCCTTGCTTTGGCTTGCTGCTTGTTTATTCATTGCAGCAAACATTTCTTGAGTCCGTGTAAAGCCTGTGAGGCCTGTGTAGGATCAGCTATACAGACTCCACCATAAAAGGAGCCTGAAAATGGTCATGGGTAAATCCTGAGAAGGACTGAGAAGCCCCAGACTCTGACCGGGCCACTCGGTACCAACTACCCGTGAACAGATTGTCTGGCTTGGGGTGGGGGGTGGTTAGAGAGAGGAAGTTCCTTTGACTGAGGACCAAGATCCCAAGGCAGCAGGCACACTGATCCTGACCGTGAGCCTCATCTCCAGTCCTTAGCAGCCGGGGTAAACAAATACTCCCCTTGCTGGGTATTCGTAGATTACACAAAGTAACCTAGGTGCTCACTGCTGAAAATATACACTCCCTTCCCCCCTCTCCTGAATCCCTGTCCCACCAAGCGTGGAAGCCACAGACCCAGCAAGCCAACCTCGTTTCCAGTCACTGAATCTAGTCTGGATTGAAGCTGTGCTCTGTAATACGGTAGCCACTAGCCACGTGTACTTATTTAAATTTAAATTATGCCAGTGCAGTGACTCACGCCTGTAATCCCAGCACTTTGGGAGGCTGAGGCAGGAGGATCTCTTGAGCTCAGGAGTTGGAGACCGACCTGGGCAACAGGGTGAGATGCTGTCTCTACAAAAAGATTTTAAAAAATTAACTGGGCACAGTGACATGAGCCTGTAGTCCCTGCTACTCAGAAGGCTGAGGTGGGAGAATCACTGGAGTCCAGTCTGCATGGAGCCATGTTTGCACTACCGAATGCCAGTCTGGGCAACAGGAGACCTTGTCTCCAAAAAAAAGTAAATTAATTTAAATGAAATCAAATAAAAAACTTAGTTTCTTAGTTGCACTAGTCACATTTAAAGTGCTCAACAGTTACCTGTTGCTAGTGGCTACTGTACTGAACAGTGCAGATACCGATCTCTTCCATCATTGCAGAAACTCCTACCGGCCAGTGCTGGGCTAGAGTGTTAGTCAGTTTCTTCCAGAGGTTTTCTGCTCTCTTTTTCCTTTATCCCCCTCTACCTGCTGCTCTCCTCCACCTGAACACAGCTCATTTTGTGTAGGTAATGGCTAAGGCCTGCAAGCCAGACACATCTCTGCCCTGCCCTGCCAAGTAAAAATTATAAGACCTTGGGCAAGTGATTTGACTTCTCTGAGAGCCAGTGTTCTAGAAAATAGAAATAATTGTATTACCTCGAAGAGTGGTTATGAAGATGAGATGAGCTAAGTAAGGTATTAAATAGAGTGTTTACAGAAGTCGCTAGCACACAGCAAGTGCTTAAATAAGTGTGGGTAATCATTCATTCACTCCAAAAATATATTTTGAGCTCCTACTCTGTTCCAGGCATGATTCTAAGAGCTGGAGATACACCGTGAATAAAAGAGACAAAAATTTCAGGCTTAGTTGAGTTTCCTTCTAGTGTGGGAGGCTATTAACGGGACGTAAATTAAATATGTGGTATGCTAGCGACTAGTGCTAAGGAGAAAAACTAAAGTCGAGAGGGAGACAGTCCCCGTGTGTGTTTGTGGCAGGGTGGGGTGGCAAGGTGCCTTAGATGGGAGCCCAGGGAAGGCCTTGCTGAGAACATAATATTTGAGTGAAGATCTGAAGGAAATATACAAATCTTTAGATTCTCTATATGTCCGTCTTGGGCAGGAAAATTCTTGCCTCCTCTTTAACAATATGTACCACCTGCGGATGTGTTATGTTCTGGAGCAGAGGGCTCTGTGGATGCCCCTGCCCTGGAGAGGTATCTCTGGGGTAACAAGTCCTCGACCCTTTAGCTCCTTGAAGTCTAGCAGAGGGAAGTGCTAAATGCCAGGTCATTAACTGCAAGTCTGCAGGTGGGATCCTTGAGGGCTGGAGTAGCAAGGGGAAGGTGGCAAAGAAAAGCCTTTTTCATTTTTTGAATACAGGATGTTACTCCTGTAGACCTCTCACCTCAGCTTCCTGAGTAGTAGTAGTACAGGTGTGCACCACCACGTCTGGCTAATTTTTTGTATTTCTTGTAGAGACAGGGTTTCGCCATGTTGCAGAGTGGTCTGGAACACCTAGGCTCAAGCAGTTCACCCTCCTTGGCCTCCTAAAGTGCTGGGATTACAGGCGTGAGCCTTTGTGTCCAGCTGGGAGAGTTTTTTTTGTGTAGTTAATCTTTGTTCTTTACCCTCTCCTCTTGCCTGGGATCTGAAGAGGTCAAAAGTCCCTGGCAAAGGCAGAGGCTTTTCTGCCACTGAGTTCAGGCTTGACGTTAGCTGGACCTCAGCAGCCTCCCCGACTCCTGCTCATCCCTTGCCAGCTCTGTCGGGTAGTTTGTACCCTTAGGAGTGTGCCCCTGAGGCCCTGCATCCAGCACCTGTTCTCTGAATCAGTTCCCACTCCACTTCCCAACTGCTTT